CCGCCGTCACGACCTACTTACCCTGAGGGCACCCCCGGCGCTTCTTGATACTCGACATCCCCGATTCCTCTTCGTCCTCCAGCCTTCTCTTCTCCTCCACTCTGATCTCTCTCTCTCTCTCTCTCTCTCTTTCTTCCCTCCCCTCTCCTCTTTCGCTGACTGCCGTCTGCTGCTGCCGCAACCTCAACTGCCGTCGCCTGGCCTCCGTTCCGACGAGCTGTTGCGCCTCCTCCCCTCCTCGCCTTCCCTGCTTCTGATCCGCCCGACAGCCCATCGACGCTAGCCATGAATTTCGACTCAGGCATTGCCTACGCAGAGTCGGACGCTGACGACGAATACGAGCGCAGTCTTGGGCCCAATTCTCCCGTCGCCGATGACGAGGGATCGCCAATCGACTCCGAGCTCCCCTCTTCCAGCGAGCACACGCCCACCACCTACGGCCACCGCAGCAGTGCCGACCGCCTACCCGAAACCATCATCTCTGAGTGGACTGCCGACGAGTGCGCCGACTTTATCAGCACAATTGGCCTGCCGCAGTATGCCGATAGCTTCGTTGGTAAGTTGAACCTGCTTCGCCGCCATTCCTCCCCCGCGTTGTTGTGACGCCTGACTGACTCATGCCCTTCGTCAGAGAACGAAATTGTCGGCGAAGCCTTGGTTGCTTTGCAACATGACGACCTCAAGTCCATGGGCATCGCCAGTGTCGGCCATCGCCTTACCATTCTGAAGAGTGTCTACGACGTGAAGAAGGCCCAGGATATCCCCATAGAAAGCGACCACTATGTGCCTTTGTGTAGGTGATACCGCGCTCTAAACCCCCACCAACTCTCTGCTGACATTTGGATTCTCTTTGCAGCTGCCGATGCCGAAGCTCAGTATGCGACAGCTACCCTCAAGGATATCAAACACCTGGTCGAGCAGCTTCGTCTGCGAGACGAGAGGATGAGCCTGGTGGAGAAGGACCTGCGTCGACTGTCGGAAGATTTCAGGCGGCTGCGGGAGGATATGCTGCCTGCCTTGCGTCTGGCAAAGGACTCGTCACAACCGCTTCCGAATGTCTCCAACAACAATCAGAATTATGGTTACGACACTGTATCGCCACCGGCACCAACACCTTCGTCCGCCCAGTCGATGAACCTCCAGCGCCAGTACTCCACCAAGAGGATTATGTTAGGAACGACGCCCAAGAACAGCTCGCCATCACATCTGCAAACTACTCACGAGAGGTCGATGGAACAAACGCTGGATCCATCAAATGCGGCGGAGCGAGCCGTTTTGTCATCGTCGCACCTTGCAGCCATGAACGGTTCAGCTACGGCTACCTCACCTGGCTACCCGTCTCCAAACATGCCCTCACCAACATCCCCTCCCACGCACGGTGGTGCAACGCTAGGTTCCCGATCTTATCGCTCCGACCGCTCGGAAGCCCCCACTCCTTCTTCACGATCTACTTTCGCCGAGAACGACCACGGATACAAAGGCCGCGAACAAGCTACTGCGCCAAAACGTGGACCGACCCCCGCCCCCGATACGCCGAGTACGAGCAACGCGTCTGTCGAGATCTTCAAGTCATTCCGTGTTAGCATGGACGATCCGTGCTACAAGGTCCTCCCGGCCGCTCTGAAAAAGTACCAGATTAATGCGCCTTGGGATCAATACGCACTTTACATTGTCTACGGTGACCAGGAGCGCTGTTTAGGACTGGACGAGAAGCCTCTCATCCTATTCAAGCAGCTGGATAAGGAGGGCAAGAAGCCTATGTTTATGTTGCGGAAGACGAACAATGTGCAAGTCGATCCGTCATCAGAACAGCCAGGGAGCGCCGGACTTGGGGCTAGAGGCGCGACAACGGGCTATGATCCGCCCGGCGGTATCATTTAGGGGGCGATACCGTTATTGATCATACTCGAAGGTTACCCTTCGTCGATTTGACTGATTTCCCAACCGATTGACTGAGCAAACACCAGCCGTGCATAGGACGCGGGGCTGGCGAGCTCGACAAGGCCAAAGCATACCGGAGTTGGGGTTCACCTGCATAGCGCTGCGCGGAAGAGACACGACTGCTTTGGAACACTACCGTGGAAACAGAGTGTGGGTTCGATTGGGCGGGGGATTTTCTCTACGGTGTTTCGTCTTGCAATTGTCCCTGGACTGTTCGATTTCGAACGTGGATCCGAGCAATACTGTTTTTTTTTTCTTGCTTTCATGCACGAGCTCCAAGACCTCGAACGAACGAGACGCCCGCTCAGGATTCGTCGCGATGGACGAGTCCTTTTTGCGAAGCTGTTGGATGGAATTGATTGCTCTTGTGGATCTTGGCTCCGGATGGTGCTTACGCCGGGTGTAAGCGGGACCCGGGTGATGGGTGCGGTGCCTGTGTGTCACGGTCTATGGAAGGTGGCTTGAACTGGAGTAGAGCGAGCGTGTGACCAACAGTCGGAAGGGAATTTTCTTGGGTATTTGGGCGGCGGCATGCGCTCGGTGCGGCCAAAGGAGTCGCGGGAGCTATGAGCTATCAGAAGGAGTTGTTTTCAATTCTTGACGCCGATTTTCTACCATTTGCCGTTTTGATCGAGACCGTGACCTTGCAGTATCCGATGAATGCTCGTTCTTTTCTCCCGAACACGGAGGCATATGACCGGATACATGGAATGGGCCCGCCAGCGTACGAGAATAGGACGATGTGGCAGGAAGAATGACGCTCAGTAATTGGCGTAGGGGTCCTCGACGCAGGTCGAGGGGGGTAATCGCGCCAAGGATGGTCGCCACACCTATTACTGACCTTCTAGAAGCATGGGCATCCGCCTCAGGGTGGGACGACTCGCAACTCCAGGGTCGACATGAACATGGGCCGAAAGGGGTGGAGGAAGCAATGATGAGACAGTACTCTCTGGATGTCATGCTTGGGGGGCGGACTGCCTGTTAAAAAAAAAAAAAAAAAAAAAAAAAACCGATACAGAGGCGGGTGATGGCGTACATACAGTACCTAGGGGATGGGTGCGGACAGGGGAGGACAAGGCTGCGCGGGTATTTCTCTGTTCGTCAGGTCCCCCTTCCGTCACTCTGGCACAGTACCGGCACAGATTCTGGGAGAGAGACTAGGGGCGGGGGTCACCCTTGATTGCCTAGGTAGGTGTTAGTTTGTTGCTAGCACGGGGTTGGTACCATAGTTGTACTCGTGTACGACGAAGGGCCGGGTGGGTTGTCTCAGTGCGGTGGGTTTTGGGGTTAACGTTGTGTTCCCACTTCCTGTTTATGTGGTTGTAGTGTTGTTTCTTGGAAGGCCGATGGAAGAACATGGGATGTCCGTTCGGACGGCTGAAGAGGGTGTGGATTGAAGACTGCCGATGGTTTTGGCGTGTGTAGGATTGAGTCAAGTGGAGGAGTGGGAGGAAATCATGGACGGAGCACTGTCCGAAATGGTGCACGGTCATCTACTGTGCGATGCCTCTCCTCTTTGATTCTTATCAAGGAATTTGATGGGAAGTACGGGGATGGACTTGGGCAGGTTTCCGTTCAACCTTTTTGGCCGGGGGTGGGGGGACGAGAGACTGGTGGTATCTGTATCTTAGGGGTCAAAGGAGGTTCGGGTACGACGCCGGGACGGAGCGGAGGTGAGGACCCGGGAATCTTGGACAACCAGCCCTTTAGAAGAGGAAGAGCCCGCCTGTACGGGAGAGCCGCCCCCTCCCCAGTCTGCGTTTGGGAAGTAGGTGGTGCTATGCTGGCGGCGGTGGCGGAGGGAGAGATACGAGGTTTTGGAGGGCTGCAATGTATCAGATGCGCCGCTAAGCTGTACACCACATAAACTGTTGTTTGTGGTGGCTTTTCCCCATGACCCTCCCAGTGATCCTGGCGTTCCTCTCTACGAAGTGACCCCGAGAAAGGGAGGGAAGTTGTTGCACGGGTTGGAAGGGGAGGGGGGTTGTTAAAGCTGTCTCATGACGGGGCGCCCTAGTCGACGGTGAGTAGATGTGAAGGGAGTACCTAGGGACAGGAAAGATGACCATAAATCTGCACTTCCGTGTGCTCCGAGAATGCTTTTCCATGTTGTCCTTCATCTTGATGACCGGACCGCCTCCTTTGGCGCGGAATTGCTTTTCTGAGCTGACCGAGTTGGGATCCTAGCGCTTGGGATAAAGCCCCCACATGTTCGATTGATCTTCGCCTTTGGCAAGTGTTTGCTGTTTTGGGGCAAGGAAGGGTGGGGATGGAATATTCAGCTGAGACTGATTTGCGGGGGAGGGCGAGATACCGGGGGGTATCTCATATTGATCCGAAGATTGGGAAGTTTAATTGATGTAAGTGAAATCAAGATATGATGCCAGGTTGCAGGTATAGTGGTTAGCAGGCGGTTCGACGGGAGCGACTGGGCATTGTGTAAAGGCGTATTCTGGACGCCCACGAGTAAGACCGGTGAGATTAGGTGTGGTGGGCAAGCTGATCCAGGAACTTTTGAAACTCCCATGTCAAGCGTGTACGGATGGGACTGAATCGCGTGCATGAAAAGGTATACAGCATATTGTGATTGAGACTCGCGCGTGAAGCATGCAACAACGTCGGCCCTTTGAAGATCTACCTCAGGTTGGCTTGCTCAAGTACCTTGCTTGAATGTCAGGCCTCCAGCCGGCCGACTTGTCGTTTGCTGAGCTATGTACTTACTCGAGGTGACGACACTACCTATTGCATAGAAATGCAGCTCCAAACGGGCGGAAGGCTGAGTCGGATATCAAAGCCAGGAAGCGGGCTACCGTGTCGACATCCATCGTCAGCCTGGCCTCTTCATGGTGTCCTCCCCCAGCAGCACAAGCCCATGTCTAACATCTTGAGCGATTCCGGCATCGTCTATATGGCCTCCACTAAGCAGCCTCGGCTCCATACCCCTCCGGCCCTTGAAGCCCAACGTTAGGGCTACGATGCTCGCCCCGTTCGCAACCCTGTGGTTCCACAGTGCAATGATAACCCGTACCACCACTCCGTGTTGACAGCACAAGGAACAAGCCCGAATGGCTCAGTGGTAAAGCGTCTCACTAGTATACACTGGCTGTCCCAGTCAGAAGATTGGGAGAGCGGATACGATATGAGAAGATCGCCAGTTCGATTCTGGCTTTGGGCACAGTGCAAGTATTTTGGCCTTTTGCGACCGTGGTTTTGGTGATTTAACCGTCATTTCTAAAATATATATATATATAAATATAAAAAAAAATGGGTGCATAGACGGGTAACTTGTATCATTTTGCCCGTTTTGGTCTGAACGCCTTGCATGTCGGACCCTTGCTGTCTGTTGGGCAAGGAGTTCTGGTGCGAATGGGTGACGGGGAAACGAATGAGAAATCGGCCGCGCCGACGTTTGTTCGATAATGACGTACCACGAGCTCTGTTCGTGTACAAGAAGCACCTCGCTTGGGGAATGAAAGTTGTTGGTACAGATGTATGAGCCTGCGTCTGTATTCTCGATCGAGCCTCGCATGTTCATTTCTGTGGTGATACTCGAAATGATGTTTATTCCTCCTGCTATTTTATCTTCTGTCTGGTGGTCACTAAGGCGGCTTCTGCTCCTACTGCTGCGGCCCATTCTTGTTTTCTCTTCGTTGCTCTCCAAGGACTCTCAGTAGCACAGTTGCAAGCTGTGAGCTGTATTGATTGTGATAATGGCAAGTCTTACTTACCTATGCAAGTGGGATAGCAGACGAGATGGAGCACTGGCGGCTTGGTTATAGAGAACGGAATGACACAATTCATCGGGCGAATGAGTGCTGCTTTGGTAACTGTCAATGTCATGGGCTGCAAGTCAGAGGTATCGATAGAATAAGAACTGAGTTTTAGTCTGAAGGGACAGATAAGATACACAGCGCGCGGGACTTGGCATCATATTTATATAGATAGGAAAAGATTGTACCAGGATCGCACTTAGCTAATTTACAGTTTGATGGAATGTTATTCAATGGTTTGTGACTGAAATTGATGTGTCCCCAGAATTGGTATGGTTCTCTCGAGACTCAAGATGAATGCTGGAAAATATCGTTTGGGAAGGACCAGGTGAGAAGTCCACGCCTGCCTTAGGTAGATAGGTAGGTAGGTAGAGTGTGGCGTTCTCTTGCTTCTACGCCTGCCTTCCCTTTTTTCTCTGCCCTTTCCAGTCACTCACGTTCGCAGCCTTCCCATACTCGAAAAGGTTAGAATTCTTTCTCCGGAGGCTTGTGCAAGGGTTGTTAGAGGATATGATCACCGCCATACTTTATCAGGCGAAGGACGATTATCTACTGACTACCCTTCAAAGAAGTTCGGAGTACCCCTCGATACGCAGGAAGGAGAGAAATAGCAGAAAATATTAGGTGCTGCCAAGTAGTATGCCTCAAGTCTGAGGTGTTTCTTCCTATTGAATTTATTTCCATGATTATCAACTAATTGCTCTTCTAGGAATGCTTCGTAGGCACCAGCTACGAGCTTGATCAATCCCGAGTATTCCAGACGTCAATGAAAAGAACGCTCTCTCCCCATCCACCACGACAAAGTCGTCTACGACATGGAGTCTCACAACCAGACTGCCTCTATAGCCCAGTCTGGCGGTATAGAATTCGCCTTCGGCACAGGCGATGGCTCTCACTCATTCACGTGGAATCCTCCCGCTTCCACGAACCCCTCAGAAAATGACCACCAGACAGAATTGAGCAATTGGAAACGCCGTCGAGTGCAGGTCAATATTGTCAAGCAGGGCGTTGCTTTGCTACAGCTTGGCTCGGATATGATATACGACTTCAGCTCGACCCACGCCGAGGCTGAGAGAAAGCTTGCTGATGTCACCGCTGAGAGAGACAATCTTCAGAGGAACCTTGATATCGTCAAAGATAAGCTTCGGGATACTCTGGGCAGATATCGAGCAATTGTGGAAACGCTTGATGGTACCCTAGGGGAGTTTGATCGCTACAAGAAGCATCACAGCCACAATGACAAATCTTTGTACCATCTGCAAACGAAACTCGACAAGAGCCATAGGAAATGCCAAAGCATCCTCGCCCATCGCAACCAGCTCTTAAAAACTGTCAACAGCATGCGCAAAGGGAAATCGAAGAATGAAAGCGAGCAGAGGCTTCTTCGCGAGAAGCTTGTCGAGGCTGTGACTACACAGGAAAAGACGCAGCGTGAGATGAGTGAGGCCAGATGCCAATTTGCCAGAGACATGGAGCACGCCCAGGAGAAAGTCGGCTACGCAAACCTCCAAAAGATTAATGCAGAGGAGAAAGTCAAAATGGCCGAGGCCGAAATGGATAATCTTCGAGACCAGTACCAGGCGGAGAGGGTCAATCTCGTGCAGGAGCGCGAGGAGCTACAAAAGGAATTGGATGTCGCCACGAATATCGAGATGAGATGTCGAGATGAGATCGCCCAGCTCAAAAAAGATGCCGAGCGCCTCAGAAACCACCACAAAGACTGTCGATCATTGTATAACAACCTCCAAAGTGATCTCTTCAACGCACGTCAGGTAAGTGTAGAGGCTAGAGCAGAGCTCAATGAGGTGCAGAAAGGACTGGACGACAGTCACGACAAGTACGCCAAACTGGTCGTTGAGATGCGGTTGTTGGAGGAAAAGAATGCGGCCCAAGTAACTCGACTTGGAAGCGAGCGCTGCGAACACCTCCGTGAGAAGCGGGAGGCCGTTGAAAAGCAGAAAAAAGCCGAAGCTGAGATCAAGAGGCTTCGGGACGAAAACTATGGTCTCTCGTCAGAGTTCCGCAGCGGCACATTGGAAGACGAACTGCGGAAGGCGCTCGAGGAGGAAATCAGCAACTGAGACAAGATTCAGAGGCAGCTGCCTACCTCGGAGATGTACAAGTGTTGCCCGCAACGATTCCAAGGAATCGAGAGAGAAAAGGTTACATGGAAAAGCCAGGGCGTGCCGTGGTAGGCACGGCTGGGGGAGGCAGATGATCCGGAAGACCGTGGGATGTCTCATAAACTTATTGCATGGTTCTTCCCATACAGCATTCGATAGTCCATCAATACTCCGTTGGCCAGAATGTGGGGATATAAAATAGTATTTTTAAGGGCGGTCTGTAGTCGTCCCTTACGATGTGAGACTAGACTGAGTGCTGTGGAGAGGCTTTTAATGCGTGAAGTCCGAACCGTACCTTCTAGAAAAGCGGGAAGCTTCTTTCCATTAGCACGTTAAGCATTGTTGGACAATGAAAAGCTTTTGGCTTCTTTCTTTTGCCAATGACCTGGCTGAGCACTGGCCCGGACTATCGAGCGGCGGTGTGATGATGATGAGAGCTGGCATGTGACTCCCGGCATCTACCGCAAGCACGTTCAGACAAAGCATTGTCAGCGCCCCCTGAAGGTCGGCGGCATATCGACCAAGGATGGTCCCCCAAACGTCCACCGCAAAAGATAGCTCCTGGCGGGGATCCCGAGCTCCTCCTCCCCCATCAGCGGTCTTTCGTTTTCCTTTCCTGGATTGGGCATCTTGGGGACACCACAACCCGCGGACGGATTGCCGAGGTCCACCACATCCAGGTCAAACCACATGCAACGCCAGTGTGTGGTCCAGACGAAGGCAGGCTGTCAGCCGGGATCGACGGGAAGGGGGCGGGCGAGCTCGGCCACAGTTGCGCGCACCTGGCGTCGACGACGCGGCCCGGTCCATACGGGTATCGCGACGCGCGGCAGGATGAGCCGAAGCAAACGCAGTCTTGCACCCTCTTGGATAAGTGTCGGCGGGGAATCTCGGACTGGGACGGCGGTTCGAAAATGGACGATCAAGGGCCAGAGCGGGATTTCCGGAGCCCGGGTCGGCATGCAGCCGGCAGCGACGTGTTGGTATGTGTCTCATAGGGGATTTTATGCCAATTGGCTTGCGCGGGCAAGCAAACAGCTCACCAAGTGACATGCCCTTCATGAGGAGCACAATTACATTTGGTCGCCTGAAGTTGGCCTACTCGGTACCGTGACCGAGGTTGGTCATTATCCAATTCTCACGCGTTCAGCGGCCCGGCCGCAACCCTCGATAGCAGCATTGTACAGGTGTTATTGGCAAAAATCGACAACTCGTCTAGGGGTAGCTGTGTGTGTGTATATGTTTCCCCTTTGGAACGATCATGAATCCAGTTCTACCCAGTCTATCATTTCCAGCCAGCCATTAAAGCCGATCGATCTATCGTTTCGCTTCAGACACCATAAACAAACAAGTAGCAAACAGAGTAGTACATAGGCACAAAAGAAACAAAGAAGTGAATTATCCCAGCACCAGGAGGCCGGATAAATGCATCATTAACGCCAAGAACGACCGGAGCTTATTCACGTGAGATATCGCGGCCAAAGACCTTGGACTTGAGCCAGTCGTTGACGACAAGCAGGCGGTTGCGAGCTGCATAAGGTTAGATGATGTACAGAACTTCCTAGTCAAGGACACAAAACTTACTGCTAAAGCACATGGAAAGGTAGGCGCTGCGCCAGAAGAGGTAGGTCATGCTGCCACCGCTGGCAATGTTGCCGTTCCACCAGCTGACGTCAGCGACGGCCTTTTCACTACCAATGTAGGCCATGCTGCCTTGGTGAGAGTAGTGGAAGGGTTTGATGTCCTTGATGCGACGGAGCTGGCGTTCGTGGGCCTCGATCTCCTTGGCAACCTCGGCGGCGTTGCCGGGCTTGAGGTTGAGGTCCTTGCTGAGCTCCCGGACGCGAGCCTCGACAGTTTCGGTTCTGGCCATGTTGTTGAACAGTCTAGCGAGGAAGCTACCCTCCTGAGCAGCAACCTGGGCAGTCGGGGCGTATCCAGCGACGGCGCAGTCGCCAATGGCCCAGATGTCACGGGTACCCTGGACAACAAGGTATTCGTTGACAGCCAGGCCGCGGCGAGAGTCCTTCTGGGCAGGAATCCTGGAGATAAGGTCACGGACAATAGGACGAACGGCGTTGCCAGTGGCCCAGACAAGAAGGCCGTAGGGAATAGTGAGGGTCTGCTTCTTTCCATCGGGGCCAGTAGCTTCAGCCTGAACGTGGGTGTCGGTGACGTTCTTAACCATGGTCTTGGTCATGATGTCAATCTTCTCCTCCTTGAAGGTCTTCTCGGTATACTCAATGAGCTGCTTGGAGAAGGAAGGAAGCACGTTGGGAAGA